CCCTCCCTTCCTCTACCCCCCACTCCCCGTTTACCCCATCCTTTATCCACGCACCCATTTTCGCGCCTGACCTCTATGCCACGCGGTATCTACGGTTTACGCTGCCATACGTCTGAGAAGCCGCCTACAAAAGACGGTATTATCATCGCTGTCTTCAACATAACACACTGGGAGAAACATTCGCAGGTTTGTATGAACGTCTTTGTATATGATCGATATTGTAAAGCAGGTTACAACCTCCTACCGTAAAACATTTCAGCTTGGGAAAATACGAAAACAAGTTAACGTTATTAAACGAAGGCTATACTAGACCAATGAAATGCATGATAAGACAAGTTCTTTGATTAAAAATAATAATGAAATATCTTTTATACCGAAAACTGAGACGCAAAGTTAAACAAAGTTTAGTGGCCATGATGCACAACTATAAAGACTGCTTAAATTGGAGACAAATCTGTAGTCCAGGGTGTCCAGCAAAACAACAACAGAGACTGTTTGATACTTTTTTTTTCCTTTTTTTTTCACACACTTGTGCAAGACAGACGGAGGACTCATACGATGCTCGTCATGAGCGTGGGAGGCAGGGTGGCCGGGGCGGGCTGGCGATCGTGTGACGGGCGAGACGGGGCCGTGGCGAGTTTACTGCGGGTGATTCGCTCCCCCGTAATGAAGGCGCTGACGGCGTATCCCTTCCTTCTCATCTGACTGCGGCGGGAATAAAGGCCGGAGACACTCAAAGTGCGTGCGTGAGTGTGCGTGAGAGAGCGAGAGAGAGAGAGAGAGAGAGAGAGAGAGAGAGAGAGAGAGGGGGGGGGGTAGGCATAAGCTGGCGGTTTCGGGGGGGGAGCTCATTCGTACCCTCGTTTTCCGAAATTCGCCCCCCCTACCGAGGTGTGTAAAACTCGGTAAAACTACACCTATGAGGATAATAAATAAACAAATAAGTAAATAAATGAGTCTGAGCACCACGCACTGGTCAGACTTAATTACAATTGGGTTAACGACCTGTAGGACCGGGCTGGGCGCAACAACGAGACACCCGATACCACCCCCAGGAAACATTACAGTAATGACAACCCTGAACGTACAAAACATAATTGGAGGCCACACTTGTTGATAATTATCATTCCACCCCGTGGATTAATTCGTACACTTTTTTCCTTGTTGTAAATATTTTTTCACGCGATAACACACTGGCCGTGCCTGGAGCATAGAGCAGGGATCAAACATGAATGCTTACCTCCGACCTGCTCGTCGAGCTGAGCGGGGTGGGGCGAGGTCTGGTGGGGCGGGTCACCGAGGCAAGGAGACCGCGGTCGGGCCGGAGACCACGGGAGGCCAGGCGCCATGAAAAGGAACGGGCCGGGCCAACCCTGACGGTAAGGTGAACGCAAAAGTAAACAGCGGGCTACGCCATAGCATGATACACGTGTAAAATGGGATTTTGAATAAGTTTATTGGAGCGTGGGCGCTCACGCTCGGGCACGCGTCGCAGCCTGCAGCGCACTACCACCACGCGCTCGCCCGTTATTCCCGCTAGCGCTTTCCCTGCTTTCCGTTCGCTACCCGTTTTACTGCCGCGATTTCCGGTAGCTTGTAAAATACCGACGCAACTCGTGTGATTCCCCCCCCCACACACACACACTAAACGACATCAATACCTTTACTGGCTAAACAAGTCCAAAACAACTGCTAACATTATTTATTCTGGCTGGCACTTGAAAGCCAACAATGTGACCAATATTCATTGACTTTTTGGTGCGCTCTTGCTTAGTTAGGTAGGGTGTATAGGGCGGGCACGCGCCGCCGCCCTCCACTTGCCTTTCCCGTCCGCCCCGTGCTCATGCTGCTCTAAACCCTCTAAACACTGGCCGCCCGGCCCGCCCCGCCTCGGCCAGCCCACCCGCTCACCCTCCCCCCTCCCCCTCCCTCTCTGCCGCTAGGCCACCGGAATGTAAGCAAACCATAAAGGAATGTCAGTTGACTGCTTTTGGTTCCAGTTTCTGGCGCACGGGTCACTTCAGGGACGTGTAATTCGACCAACTAAAATTTGGATGTAAACATGTAAAGTAAAGATATTAACATGCTAAGATTAAAATATTATTTCCTTCTAAAATATGAAAAAATTCAGACTCTTGCATTTGTGTCATCTGCTTTCACTATCCGATCCTTGCGGAGATTTTTAATTGTCAGGCCAGATTGCATTTTCTTTCGTTTGTGTTTATCTTATTTACAAAGTAAAAAACAGGACGAATTTATTTTTCAGCTGGTCTCCAACTCATTGAGGGCTGGCAAGGCGGTAAACACCACGCCGCGGGTGGAGGGAGTATCCCCACGGGGGCTGATCCCGGCGAGCCACAAATGCCAGCCCTCTCCTCTTTGGATCTCCTGGCCTCGCGCCTCGCCTCGCGCCTCGCGCCCACCCCCTCCCGGGGGTCGCGATATGCCCTACCCGCCACCCCTGCCAATCATTAAGACCATATCGTACAGTGTAAGGGGGGAGGCAAAAAAACTGCCTCTTCGTGTGTCTTTTTTCTGTACATGTACACTGCAGTGGATCAAAACGCGTAATAATTCTAGCACATTCGCACATTTTGCGCCATTGTATCAGATTGTATCCATGACTATAGTCCGCTACAGTCATAATGATTTTTTTCTGGATGTGCTTGAGAACATATACGTTTCAGGAACAAATTTTTTCTCGTTATTGCAACAAATCATGCAGCTAAAAAATCAATTAATTATCTTTGTCGCACAATGTTTTTTGCAGAGTGGTCAAGTAGGCTGCCTCGCTGACCCTAGGTGTACCTCATAACGCGACGGGCACGGCCGGAGCCGTCGCACTGGTGTGGGGCATAGCGCTAAGGGAGGTGAAAACAACAAAGTCAGGTGACTCAGAGATTTATCGGGTCTGAAATTGCACTGAAGCGACGCTCGCCTCTATCTCGCTGCCGCAGGGTAGTGGGGAAGGTGCGGAACGCCTGCCCAGCGCCTCCTGCGGCACACACACAGTGCGAGCGAGCGAGAGAGCGAGAGAGAGAGAGAGAGAGAGAGAGAGAG